TCTATATCTCTATTTTACATAGGTCACTGGTTGGTTAGGTTCTGGTTGCCTTGAGCAAGGTAGGCGGTGCCGTGCCCTGCCAAAACAAACCTACTTTAAATGAGTTAATCCTGTGGAAGACTTGCGAGTGCCTTCTGAAAACATAACTCCAGCCATAAACAAAACAAAAAAAAACTAAATGGCCTATTAAAAGGCAAAAAAGCTTTTGCTGCAGTATTCGCCTTCAATACAAACATTGTCCCCAAAGTACTTTTCTTCTGACACTAGATGTCCTCAAGTCTGACGGCCTGCATCATTCAACCATCATTTCCGTTTTGCCCAGGTTATTCTGTACCCACCACAGTCTATGAATACCAAATGAATACCAAGGGAATACAATCTATCCTTACCTTCCAGCTGTACCTTTATGACATCTAAACAAAACTGTAAAAGAGAAAAAAAAAAAAACAAACACAAAAAACTTTCAGTTAAAAAGTAAAACACTGCAAAAAAATATTTGCTAGAATTCTGAAATGGGCAAAAAGACATTTCTTTTCTACTAATTAAATAAATTAAAAAAAGGAAAAGGCACAGCCATCTTTCTTACACAGATTTATATTTTTTACAGGTAAACTAGCATTACAAAATCGATGAAAAACAGATTTATATGATCAGAATAATATGATTTTTGTATTTACAGTAAAATCCTTTTCTTGGAGCCCATTGAAGGACACAGGAAGTCTTTAAGCGGAAGCGATATGTATGAAAAATTGGTGAAAGGAAGGTTATTTTTTTTATTTATTTTTTTTTAGCAGTAGAGACTGTGTAAGTCTCTTTTCCCAAAAACCGCCCACCTGCCAGTGTGCAATTTTTCTTTTTTCTGTGCACTAAGCCGCACATGCGCAGTTCAGTACAAAGACCCAGAATGCCCAAAAAGTAACTCCTATACGCATACTTTTGCTGGGTTACAGCAAGCCAACTGCCAATCAAGAGGTCAAAGACGCCAGACGTGGAAAAAGGCAGGCAGAAGATGGCAGTGCCAGCAATGGTAAGTTGGTCATAATATGCTGTGCAGATGAGATGAGGCCGCAACATCCACTTTAAGTAGAACTTAAAGAACGTGTGAAAAGAAGACCAGGTGGCATGTTTGCAAATGTGGAAAACTTTTGACTGATGCCAAAAAGCCCATGAAGTGTTTACAAATCTCATAGAGTGCGCTTTGCCAGGAAAGGGTGGAATTCAATCATTGAGACCATGAGCTTGATGGGTAGTCTCTCTGAGCCACCTAGAACGGTTGAACAAGAAGCCAGGATAACTTTCCAGGTCCATTTGGGCTGAAAAAAAGAGAAGACATTTTCTGAAAGAAGCAGTGGCTGAGATAGACTTGCACAGCCCAAATCACATTGGGCAAGGAAGGAGATTTGACACACAGAGAAACTCTTGTGGTGGAAGCTCAGAGATTCACAACAAGTGAAGGAGGTCTTCCACATCCGATGATGGACCTTATGAGAAGTAGACTTCCTAGCTTTAAGTAGCGCAGAAATCACAGATATAGGAATGCCAGTTCCTTAGAAGCTTGGCTTTCAACAGCCATGTCGTTAAAGTCAGCAACTGAGATGCAGGACAGCAAATCGGCCCTTAGGACAGAAAATCCTGATGATATGGCAGTGGTCATGGAGAATCTTCCCCGAATTCTTACCAAATTTGTGTACCACACACACCTGGGCCAGTCTGCAGCAATGAGTCTCCCCGAAATGCCCTCTATCTTGAGGTAGCAGAGCAGAGCAGGAACAAGTTTCAAGGAAGTAAAAAGGCATAGATCAGGTTGTACTGACCCCACTGAGTTAGCAGAGCATCCACTGCTTGCACCAAGGGAATCCCAGTACCTGGATACAAACCTATCTACTATGTTGTTGAACCAGGAAGCCAGGAGGTCCCTATCTGGCATTCCCCACCTATGATTCAGGTCCTGGAACACCTTTGGGTGCAGGGACCACTTCCCAAGGTCCAGACACTGCCAGGAAATCTGCCTAGCAATTGTTAAAGCCTGGAATGGACGTGATTGACAAGGCTGGAACATGAAGTTCTGGCCAGGACAAGGTCCACTCTACCTCTCTTCAACCGCGAGACCTCTGGTTCCTTCCCGATTTCTAATGCATGCCGCCATGCCATTGTTGGACTGAATCTAGATCAGATGACTCTCCAACAGAATGGTCCAAGGCTGAAGGAACAGCCAAATTGCACAAAGCTCCAGGATGTTCGGACAACCCCTGCACTGACAGGGTGCCAAAAACTCCTCCAAAGTCGAGAATTCCTGAGCCATCAAGCCAAGGATAGCCTTATCTTTGGCATCAATCGAATCGGTCTGTCCAGGCACAGTAATGGCTTGTCCCACAAAGACAGAATATTGCATCACATATGGCTGGAGTCCAACTGCGCAAAGGGGACTGCCTCGAAGAAGGCTACAATCAGCCCCAAAACACTCATGCAGAAGCAGAAATGCTCGCAAAACAGACAACACTAACATGCACTTGGGGGAAGAAATTAACCCAACTGGTTTTTTCAAACCTCCAGAGAGAAAAAGCTGGAAAAGACTGAAAACAGTGCTGGTAGAAGCAACAGGTTGATCCACTAATTTGCGCGGTGCATGAAAACAGTCTCATTTATCCTTGCTATTACTTTTTAGGAGTAAAAGCAGATGACTAACTCCTGAGGGAGTAAGCTCATCAGTCAAGGAATTGATCCACAGTCTCTGTGGACGATTAAATGGAGACAGCTCACAATTTATCAGTTATTTGTGTATGATTTATGAGTGGCTTTTAGAGACAGGACAAGTGATGCCAGTAGCTCTGAACCTAGAAAACACTCTGAAAATAACTTTTACCAGGCTGTCCCTGCAATGTCCAGTACAGGGAGGGCAGAAGCATACTCCAAAAGCCAGGCTGAGAAAGACAGATCAAAAGGAAAAACCACTGGCAACTGTGTAAAAAAATAAAAACAATAATGGAGTGGTTATCCTGGATAGGACTACAATTAGTTTGCCAGTGTCCAATCCTTCTGAAGGCAGCAGTATAACTCAAAGTTTTAACGAGAAAATAGAAAAAAAAATTCCACTATGCGTAAGAAATTAAAATAAGTTACCCGATGTACGAGTCTTCAACTTTAAACATCTGTCAATATGGATAAAGTTTGTGTGACAACATTGTACTAATATAATGGCCGGAGAATGTATCTACGTATCCTATGAAGACCTGTGTGATGTGTCCAAGCTATATAAGTAATAGAAAAAAATCAGACTTGGATAAAACTAACCATTTCAATAGTTTGCTCAGTAAGGAAATGCAAGGTTCAAGGATCTTATACCAAAACACTGGAAAATATATTTTTTTGCAGAACAATGCAAAAAAATTGGGTTCCCAAAAAACAGCCCAATACTACTAAAAAATATTATGATTGGGCTGCTTAGAGTAACTAGCAGGTAGCAATAAGGAGCTACTCCAAGTAAGCATTTGATTTCCAGCAGTGCTGAAAAATCTGTGGACATAATTTTAACTAGCCTTCCTCTGCACTTACACTGCTGTGTCTTGTTGGCGTAGTTGAAGTAAAGGTAACAGCAGTGCAGATCTCTTGAAGAAAGCCCTTATATTCCCCCCGTAGGGAAAACCAATGTGTTTATAAACTTACCACAACAGGGTCTGCTATTGTTCTATAGAAGGTTCCTACACGTATATTTCGACAAGTCACAATGATACTTTCACAGTTTGCAAAACACGCTGGTAAGGGCTCATTTGAAACATCTGACTGGGAAACTTTACGGCGCTTAACAGGAGTATTTGTGACAGAATTTCCAAACTGTGAATAAAAGAGGAGAAATTAGTACCCCATCTGCAACAATACACTGAATGCAATTACACAATACACTGCCACAATGACATTTTAGACAACAACTCGACCCTCACAAACTTAAAGACCTAGACTCGGGCACCCTTATCATTCAAATACTTTGACAAGTCAGGTGATTAATATACCAGCATTTTGCAGCTGCTCTTTTGTCCAGACCCACTTGTTCCATTGCACAGTGTCTGGTGAGTAGAACAGATGATTGTCCTGTCTGCGTCCAGGAACAATCTATCCCGAACAGCAGGTAATCGTTTCACGTGGACAGCCAACTGACACATGCAGCTGCTGTCAGCCAATCATTCGCACAGCTGCCATATCTGTACAGACACACCTAGGATTCCTGCCACAAGGTTATGGCTGCAGGAATCCTCATCCACACAGTATAGCCCCATCTGACTGTAGCCAACTCCCCATCATACTTGCATTCTAATGGAAAATGTAGTTTAGGTAAAAACTGGAAATTCACTTTAACATCATCTTCCTCACTAGTGAATTAACCTACCCACCAACAGCACTGAACAGTGAAGATGGGGATTTGGAGAGTGCCTGAGCCCCATCTGCCAATGGCTGGGCTCTGCACAGGCTGAATACAAAAAAAAGTACCATTCTTCTTCCTCCCTAAAAACGAAAAGTTTAGCTGTCCTTGGTCTATAAAGTGCAAACTCAAACAGCCACCACAACTAAGAACCTTTTATAGCAAGTACAGAAAATACCTATTAATCTTGCCACAAAATCAGTGTGCTTCTTACATAGAGCCTTTTTTCTTCTGTAAACTACTATACCCATCAGCCCAAATGTAGTAGAGATAAAGAAAGGCAGACATGTCCTAGTAAATCTAGCCTGTATAACGGCCATGGATAGATGGATGCCCCCATAGATACGGTGGATATAAAAGCATAGACATCAAGGGGCAGGGTGTGTTATTCGTAGGATTATCAGGTGAAAATAAAGCTTGAAAAAGCTTTATTGGACTGGTAAGCAGCAAGAGGATTTGATTTTTGTACTCGCCATAAAATCCTATTTTTGAAATCCATCGAGGTACAGAGGAAGTCTTCAATTGTTGGGTTATACTGACACCTACAGGAGGATAGAGCGTTGGCAAATAGAAAAACTGTAGGACAGCTCAGGATAACTCCTCCCCTTTTTCCAGTGCGCAGTCTGTAAAGCACCACAAAGCAGAAACCAGGCTAGCTCTGAAATGTCGATTCAGCAGGGACCAGGAATGGCACTCTAAAGTCAAGCGGAGGAAAGCCTTAGTTGAGACCAGCTCAAGCTGTGATGAAGCAGGAATCATGAAGGGAAAAGCAAGTTTCTCAAGAAAGAAAATATATCCATTGTGCTAGGACACTAGCAAAAAAGGGAGGCATGCTAGAAGTCGGAGTAGCTATCACGGGCTGGCCTTCAATTTTTTTCTTGTTTGCCAGTGTCCAATCCTTCTGTAGGCAGCAGTTTAACCCAACAGTTCAAGACTTCCTGTGTCCCTCAAATGGGGAATTTTTGGTTGTCGGTTCAGATACGCTTTTAAAAAGTCTCAGCAATTCACCTGAAATGTACACCTGCACCTGACAGTTCTACCAGACACAGTGAAAAGTCTCTCCACTATACTAAGCAAAATGCACAGGTCCATTCGGGCAATAAATTGTCTCCTAACGGTATATATACAATGATTGATAAACTGACTGACTACGTTACCATTTTTTAGCACTATTTATAAAAGGCACAAAAAGGAGGAGAAAAAAAAGATAGAGGAAGATGAGCCCCAAAAAACAAGTATTTAAATTGATACTACCTGGTCTTTCATTCTCGCTTTTCTGGGGATTGTGATGTCAAACTCTGCCGGGTTACTAAACTTGTTCTCTATAAAACTATTTTCTCGCAGCGCTGCTTCTACTTTTCCAGATGATGGGACGGGAGAAGAACAAGCGGAATCAGCAGGTCGTGGAGAGATGCTTTCTATTCTACTTGTACTTCCAGTGCTAGAATTGTCTTCATCATCACTAGATAGGATTACTGGAATTACAAAGACATTTTCAAATAAACATCTATAAATAATGCAGAGTGTTATCCAAAGCAAATCATTTTATTTTTTTTTCAGATTGGAAAGAAAGGCAAACACTGTGACCATCAAATAGAATGTGGCAAATTAGATGTCAACAAAAGGTAATTGGCATTCTTAAAGGATTTTTTCACATTAAAGAGTTACACATTATTACAAAGTTATTAAAGGTGATATCCAGCCATGAACTACATTTACCCACAAGCCTCCATCTCCCCTTCTAGTTGAAGCAGATCTCTGCTTCATCAGCTTCTCTGGGGGTCCCTAGGTGACATTAGGGGTCTTGGAGACCCCTGATGTCTCCACAAAGAGGACCTGTCATGTACATTGGCTATTATATAGGGGGCTTCTTAGCCCGCGATGTAATAGCAATAAAGTTGTGTGTCAAAAAAAAATACAAAAAATTAAAGAATCGTATAAGACGCGCTGGCGCTGACTCGAGTATAAGCCGAGGGGGGCACTTTTCACCCAAAAAAATGGGCTGAAAATCTCGGCTTATACTCGAGTATATACGGTAAACACTCATATGCGTCGGGTGCGCCTACGTGCGAAAACGCTGATTGCTCCTATTGTGCCGCACATGTTACATATCGCCGCCAACGTCGGAGTGAGAGCAATGATTTTAGGGCCATCAATCACCGATAACCCTAAACTGATGAGCAGTAAAAGCGTTTTAAGCGTCGCCTATGGGTGTTTTTTGCGATTTTGTGGGTGCACGCAATTTTAAGGCTTGACATGTTTGGTGTCTATTTACCCGACGTGACCCCGACTTTTATGTTTTACCAAAAATATGGATAATAATAAATGTTTTATAACATAGTGTAGGGAAACTTTTTTTTCTTTTACTTTTTTCATTATATAGTAAAATAAATAACCCCCGGAGGTGATTATATACCTCCAAAAGAAAGCTCTATCTGTCCCCAAAAAATGTTAACGTAAATTGCAAGGCCGATAGTCCGGTCATGCTGACTGGTTAGACACCCTAAAATTTTTCAAGCCCTGTATAGCTATATCTATCTATATTTTTTATTTCTATTGTTTAATAGGCTCATTACAATACAATACAATACAATACTTACCTTTAAAACAAAGGTAAAGTGGTCCTTAACCACTTGAGGACAGGTATGTTAAACCCCAGGGAATTTTTCAGTGCTGTGATACTTTTACCAACAATAACTTGGCCATGCAAGCAATGTACCCAAATTTATTTTATATTATTTTTGAGATATAGCCTTTTTTTGGTGATATTTAATCACCAACATGCTTTTTATTTATTACTATATAAAGGACAAAAAAACCCTGAAAATGTAGAAAAAAAAACCCAAACAAAAACCGTTGCTTATTTTCTGTTAAAAAACATCGCACATAAATAATCTTTCTTAATAAATTTAAGCCAGAATGTATTCTGCTACATTGCTTTGGTAACGAAAATCCCAGGTAATTGATTATTTACAGTATATAGATTTGAAATTTATCAACCCTGATGTTCTGTCTGTCTATCATGTTTTTTGAGGCCATAAAATGCCAGGACAGTACAAATAAGCTCAAAACGACCCCCTTTTGTTTCTATCCTTATTAAAAAGGATTTTTTTTTAACTTTACTGTTGGGGGCTCTGGGGAAATATCAGGGACCTAATAGCCCAAGGTATTTAGCAAGATTCTAATTTCTTGCCAATTGAAAAAAAAAATGAAGTAAATGTATTGATTTTTTGTTGTTGGTTAAGTTGTAATTTTAACTAGTTATTTCTTACACACACAGCATGGGCATACTGGGCATACAATTACACCCCAAAACACAGTTTATTACTCTTTCTATGCGCAAGATACTAAACGTGTGACACCTTTGCAGCATAGCCACTTAGCGGGGTCCAAAATCCAAGAATTACCTTCTGGCTTACAAGGGACATAAATTATGCAAAATGAAGGAAGAAAATGAAAATCATAAAAAACAAATCTGGAGATCAGACACTGGTACCAGTGCTGGCTGGCGATCAGGACACCTTTCTGGGGCTAAAACTGGTAATAAGAGGACACTGGTTCTAGTACTGACCTATGATCAGGACACTGGGACCTAATGACACTGGCTGACAATCAGGACACTTGAACTAGTGCCGACTGGTAAATAGGAGACTGGTATTGGCTGACACTGGTACTTGAACACTGGTATTATTGGTACTGGTGCTGGCTGCAGATCAGGAAGGTGAGGGAAGGGACAAGAGCACACTTGTGCTTTCTGCTGTCAAAGCCAGAAAATACATGGATGATTAGGAACATGCATGGCTGTAGTAAAGACCTCAGCCAACAGTGCAGAGTAGCTGGCTACACCCGGCAAAGCTAACAGGACTCCAGCTATTATTCCAGGCTGCAGATCAGTGTCACACTGCAAGCAGTGGCTAATCCATTATTACAGCGGGACTGCGACCCCCACACCCATTTCTAGAATCAGATATGTTGCAAACATGTGGCAGGTAGGCAACGTAAGGCTCAAGGGTATTAGGAAAGGCCTCACAAAACTGATAGCAGGTGAGGGCCAAATGTGACCATGGTCATTAAAAGAAGGCGGCAGAAATTAACCCAGGGTTCCATATTTCTCTTTTTAAGGCAGGAGCAGAAAAAAAAGCAGAAAAGCATTTAGCAATCCAAACAAATTAAGTACCTTAAGGTCAGCCAGATCAAGCCTTCAGAGGCGGGGCAAGCACTGTGGTACTGTCAACAGCTCTGGACCTTGAAAGCACTCCACGGCTAACTTGTTACTAAATCAGAGTCTTACACGGAACCCAGTGTCCGGAGGCCTGAAGGATATCCAGGGGAGTCCTGACCTGGCATTCCATAGACCAAGCGGAGTATGACTTGCTGGACAGCTGGACATTAGAGAGCAGCTCTAGCAGCTACATAGAGAAGGGTTTTGAATGAATAAAATTTTTTATTAAAAACAGTGCTAGCAAAAATTAGTTATTCCTAACAGATGTCCATCCTCCTTGTAGAGGTTATCCTGGGCTGGCTTACAGCTCGTTTCCAATAGAGGTTGAATAGAATTTTCAGCCCGAAAAAACATTTTTTGTTTATAACCTTTTTTTAACTTTACTGTTGGGGGCTCTGGGGCAATATCAGGGGTCTAAACAGACCCCTGATATTTCCCTTTTGAAATAGAAAAAAGAGATTGAGGACACAGAGTCCTCAATTCATTTTTCTGTAGCCCCTGTTATAAATGAACAGGAAGCCTCTATACTGCTGTCCATTCATAAATTGAGGATAAAGTATGAGTTACTATATCCACAAACATGAATAAACAGGAAGTGATATAGAGCACTTCCTATTCATTCATAATTGGGGACACAGTAAAACATACTCTGTCGTCAATTATTTACAAAGACTCAAGGAACATTGACAGCTTGTACTCGCTCTCCATCTTGACTCGCTGTCACAGGAGGCTGAGCAGGCGGTGCTCAACCACCTGTGACACGGCTAACAGCTGACCGCCCCCCCCGCCCGCACCTTCGGATCGGCCTCCTGTGACAGCTTACAGCTGTGCCCTACCCCACAACGCTCTCCATCATGATCTGTCCATCCTGACAGACTCACAGCGCTCTCCTCCTGGCCCCCGCCTGAATGTTTTTCTCCCCACTGGATGCTGCGCTGTGTCACAGCAGAATAGTGCCCAACAAAGAGGAGAGAAACTGCGGATACACCGCAATTTCGGTAGAAAAATTGTACTTTCGCCATTTTGCCTAAAATGCAATTTTCGACCGATATGTTTAGGCGGCTGAAATTTCTGTGCATTCCTAGTTTCCAATGTATCAAATCCTCCTGTATATGGCAGTACAACCTTAAGTAGAAAGACTTTGTGTCCAACAAGAGACAATAAAGCAATAACTTTTAATCAGGCTCATCCCACATGATTGTATAAATCAAATAAACACTATACCGAACATTTACCAATTCTGTAGTTAAACAGATTTACTACAAGGTTACAGCTTGATTCCTCCTTCAGCTGCTCTAAAGTAGCATTCCCTGACCCTTTCTTTATTGTGTATCTGACAAGAGTAAAAATCTGTCTCATCTACGTTGCTAAATCTTTTGAAATTTGTCACAGTTGGCTGCCCAACATTACAGTGACAGAGGTCACAAAAACGCAAAAAAAACAGTTGCATAGCTTTTGCTAAATGAGGAGGCAGACTGATTTGTGTCGAAGCGTGTGGCTAATGTGCTTGAAAAATGCCCCCAAAGCTTTAAGGATGTAAATTAAGAGTACAATGCTTCCACAGAATATGTTTTTGGAGGTTAAACTTTTGACGAATCCATAGCGCCTTTTTCATATGACATCAGTATCTGACAAGTGCTCTTTTTAATGAATTTGGTCTAGTCATTGCTCTTCAGCTTCCCCTTCCTCTAATAATTCTGCATCATCCTCCACAGACTCAGAATCCAGATCTGCATTAAGGGTACCTCAGTGTATCCTGCCTTACCAAGACCATAAGTTGTAGAGAAGCCAAGGGGGTGTGATTAAAGAAATCATTTCTAATTACCTTAAAAAGGTAACTCTCGCCATTAAAAAGCTGACAGGGGTTCTAGTATTCTTCTTCTTAAAAACTAATTTTACTTCTGTGTTGCGGTTAGATAGTTTCCTTCTATTCCTGTCTGGCGAGCAGTTTGTCCCCAAGAGGGTGAACAAGGGAAATATTTCTAAAAACCCCAAAAAATTCTGACAGGGGTTCTAATACTTGCCCCATACTATTAAAAACAAACAAAAACAAGTTATGGCTATAGATCAGGTGCAGGCAAACTCCGTCCCACCAGCTGTGGTGAAACTAAAAATCCCATGTATCTTCCTGTGGTAGTCATGCCTGTGGCTGTCAGAGTCTTGCAATGCCTAAAGCGATTTGTAGTTGCACCACAGCTAGTGGGCTGGAGTTCACCTATCCCCGCTATAGATACACTTTAATTGTTCATTTGGTCTAGGGAGAATGCTAAATGAAAAAAAACCTTGTTTCAATCCGCCAGCAGCTGCCACTCTTCTATCCTTTCCGACACTCCAGGGATGTGGGCATGTCCTCTCCACCCTCACCTACAATGCAGGACCATTACAGGAGTGGTGCGGGACAGAGGTAAGTTCCACTGAATACCAATTATAGGGCCCCATTTCCACTGAGCACTGACACAGGGAGACTCTTGCTCCCACTGACACAGCGACGGTTGGTGATCGCACTAACGCCGGGGCATTTATTTATCCCACTGACCATAGATGCAGGAGCATATTTTTACTCCTACTGACCACCAACACAAGGGCATTTTTACTGCCACTACTGCCGGAACACAGACATAAGGGCATTCTTTACTCCCAATGACATTAAGCGCAATTTGTTTTTACTCTTACTGACCACAGTCCAGCCTCCAAATAGTGTGATAAGACACCAAGACGAAAGCATGAATTGTTTTTACTTATTTTCAGGGTTATGTTTTTTGGTTTTGTTACCGTCCCAAGTAATTCTTGTTTCCAATGTAGCACAACACCGAGATGTGGGAACAGAGCTGAAGCATCAACCATAAGCTTGCAATTCAATATAATATACTGTTGGCGGGGCTCCCCACTCTTCTCTCCTCCCACTGAGTGACAGCCTCTAGCTGGAGCCGATGCACTTTCATGAATTCCCGTCCCTGCCTCCCCTCCATGTTGCTGTCTCCATCTCTTCTTTTCCCTGGCTGATCTTGAATAACACACAGGAGATCTGCAGGAGCACTTCGGCAACCGATCTTACCTTGTGCAGTTACCAGAGCACCGCTGCAGATCTCTTGTGTTATTCACGATCAGCCAGGGAGAAGAGGAGATGGAGACAGCAGCGTAGAAAAGAGGCAGGGATGGAGCTTCAGGGATATACATGGACGCACTGCCGCTTCTACAAGGCACTGTCACTCAAATGGGAGGAGAGAAAAGTGTGGGGAGAATCCCAAAAATATTTTGGGGCTGCAACTAAAATCATAATTGATTAGTTGGTTGATTAATCGGATAAAAAATACCATCTTTTATATAAAATACGCAAATGGAGTGTTACAAAGTTTACTTCAGAATAAAACTGCATGCACAATTTTTTGCAACCGTACTGCACTGGAACGCACGGCATCGTGCGTTCCAGTGTGGGCGGAAGGCGAGCTGGACATTTTTATTGGTTTCATGGATTTAAAATCTGAATTAAAAACTCCAAGCCAATATAATAAAATAACCAAACTTTTATTTAAAATAACACATCAAAATTGGACAAAAAATACAGTTAGATATAAAGTTTTAAAAAAACCTTGTCATCAGAGCTAGCCATGAATATTGGCAAGAGAATTATTACTCTCACTCTGACGCACGTGGCAATACCCGACATGTGTAGAGCAATCACCATTTTTGTACATAGGTGCACCCAATGTTTCTGTTAGTATGTGCGCATTCGCGGGGGTGGGGGACTTTTTTTGGTATTTTTAAAACTTTTTATTTTACTCAACTTCACTGCTATCACATGGGGAGCTCACAAGCCCCCTATGTGATCACAATGGAGATGACAGGTTCTCTTTAAGGTGACATTAGGGGTCTATTAGAGCCCTAGTGTCACCTTTCCACTTAAATAGCTTTAGCTAGGGAATGTAAATACAGGAGGCAGTGGCTGGGAGCATTAGCCAGCCTTGTATTGGCTATTTCAAATTGCAATAGCAGGCTGGCTATTGTACCACCCACTGCCTGCTGCCAATCAGCAGAGGGACCTGAAGGAAAACGTTTTTGTTCAGGTCCCTCCTCTGCTGATTGACAGCAGGCAGTGGGTGGGTACAAAAGCCAGCCTGCTATTGCAATTTGAAATAGCCAATACAATGCTGGCTAATGCTCCCAGCCACTGGTTGGGAGACTTGTCGCCGGCTTTTTTCTGTCAGTGACTCCCATCAGAAGGCATGGGGGACACAGCGAGGGCACAGTCACAGGCTGACCGTGGTCTCTCCTCCCCACTGGGTGCTGTCTGTAGCAGTCTGTGTCCCCTACTATACCCGCTGCCTCCACCAATACAGGCAGGGGAGAGCAGTGGGGATCAGAAGGAACACAGACCACAGTATGCAACAGGCTCCAAGTAGGGAGAAGGGGGGAAGCAGGGCAGATACAGCGGCGGGGCGGCCCCTCCTCCCCGCTGGGCACTGGCTGCAGGGGTCTGTGTCCCAGCGGGGAGGAGAGAAGCAGATTCACATTATAGATCATCAATTAGTTGTTGCAGCCCTACAATAGTCAGGATCGCTTCTCAGCATGAAGCTTAGCCCCACCCACACTATATTACATTCAACTGCAAGCTTATGATGGATGTTTTATTACAGGAGTGCATTGAACAATGTACTCCTGAATCATTAGGAAACTAAAAATACCAAAATATGTGCATCCTATAGTATTTTTTTTCAATCCCCATATAAATTCTTAATTCTTCCATAGCCTTGAGCTATGCTCCATAGCAGAGCATCACTCACTTGTGCAACATGCATCACACCTGGATGAGCAGGTACACAGCAGAAGTACACAGACTAACGACATTACTATAATACCTGCACTCTTCCCCGCAGTCTAGAGGGCAGGCAATTTAACCTAGCACTGCATCTACATACACTGTAGGATTCAGCCCCTTTTCCAGTTTTCTTATTTTTCCAAACTGTCTATCCTGCTTAGCAACCTCCCTGGAAACAGGACAAGAAGCGGATTGTTAACCACTTGAAGACCAGGTGTTTACACCCCCTTCCTGTCCAGGCTATTTTTCAGTATTCAGCACTGCAGTACTTTGACTGACATTTATTAAGTCATGCAATGCCGTACTGAAATAGATTTTATACCATTTTCTTGGGACAGATAGAGCTTTATTTTGGTGGTATTTAATCACCACTGAGGTTTATATTTTTTTTACTATGTAATGAAAAAAAGTACAGAAAATTTTTTTTTGCCTATGAAATATTTTTTATTACCCACATTTTTGTTAAAATCTAAAAGATGGGGTCACGTGAGGTAAATAGACACCAAACATGTCTAGCTTTAAAACTGCGTGTGTCCACAAAAATCGCAGAAGAGATGTAATATACATCAGTTCCTGCATTCATAGTACGGGGAGGAGATCAGAGGGAGATTGTGTACTGATCTCTGGTGACAGAGTAGCCGTGCAGGCACAGAGGAGCTGGGGATCGGCAGGCACATGCATAATATACAAGCAATCCAGCGACTCTACAGCTGCTGGACCGCTTGTGTGTCGCTGGCTGTTTACAATTTAAGCAGTTTTCCCGAGAGCGGGACAGGCGAGGATTTCTAAAAACGCTCGCTCACATCCAAGAAGCTCCCGGCCGGACATTTAATTACAACAGTCGGCCGGGAAGCGATTAAAGGTGCGACACATGCATGTCATTATTCAGTTCCTTTCAGACAAGTGGCTTCAAGCAAGCCTAATAGAGACTGACTATACATCCTAACAGTGTGACCACTAACCATGCCTTTGAAAAGTGTCTTATTTCTAACTGGTGGCTGCTATGGGCCAACACAGACAGGGATCTCGAGATTTTTTTTTTCTTGACTACATTACAATGGGACTGTGTTTATGTGACTTCTAAATTATAACCAAAAAAAGAACACTCTGGATTTACTCACCATCATTCACAACTATTTTTGTGCCAGGAGACTAGCATGTTTTTTTTGTACGACTACCTACCTTTATCTGCAACTGATGCAATGCCAAAGTCCATATCCATTCTTTGTGAGACATCATGAAATGCAAAAATGTACCCTAGTATTGTAGTATTTCAAAGAACTGATTGCTGGAGTGGACAACATAGAAAATCACTACTTACTTGTATCATTTGGTTCTGATGATCTAGTACTCCTATTTCTTGTGTTTTTTGTAACCTTGGCTTCAGCAGAAAGTCCAACCTTCCCATTTGGTGTACTCGTCTTCCACCTTAACACATCATTTTTTACAATGGAATCCATAGGAATTTTACTATAAGAAGAGCCATAGAAGTTCTTAGTACTTAAACCTTTGTTGACAGGAGTTTCTACAGTTGCATTTTGATGAATTGAAGGCCGAGATAGGGAAGCAGGTGATTCAGATAAGGAGGTGTTTTGCCTGTAAAGTCTTTGTGTACCTACACAACTTTGGCATTTTGTTTTGCTCCTATTGTCTTTACCACAAGATGTACAGCATTGAAAAGGCTCATTTTGTTCCATGCTCTGTCAGGAGAAAAATTAAATACATAAGAGGACGGTAATTGAAAATGAAGGTAGATTAGGGTGGACTTTTAGTGTGAGAAGAGAAAAACATCCGCCAACAGCTATTTCTTCTACCCCAAGACATCACGAGCCATCATTTCCACATTAGGTTCTTGCTATAACAAAGCAAGCAAACTAGAAATGCTCTGAAAGGAATATCAAGCAGGGCCACTTACGCATGAGTTATGAATGTAGGCAATAGGATAACATCGTTTACAGAAAAAAAAAAAAAAAATACATTTTGCAAGGATCCCAATTAACTAAACCAAGAAAAAAAAAACCATATAAAAATGGAAGCAAACTAAAACACACCTCTGTCTGCGATAAACGCAGCTGAGCAGGAGACATGGGCAAATTGTACTCATTTAAGTTGCTACGCCGTGTCTGTTGTACTTTTCTTCTGGGTTGAGACTCTCCATCAGTATGCAACCTTGTATCCTGAATGCCTGAAAATAAAGAAAAATCTATTACTTCGACAATTCGTAAAATACTTTATGTTTCAATATATTGTGATGGTCAGTTGAGAATACTTAAAGGGGCTTAAACTGAATACTTAAAAAAATGTTTATTCGAATAAAAGGCAATGGCGTGCAGAGTACAGTATATAATCATGTGTGACAAGGGATATTCTCTTAACAGTTGATCTTAACCCCCTTTAGATAAAAATCACATCAGCATGCAACTCTGCATGGTGATATGAAATCAACTTTTACATTTATTAAACATTTTCATTTTACTTACAATTTCTTGTTTTCTACTTCCTGGTCCCCTTTGACAAAAGTGATGAAAAGTGCCCAAATGTTGCATCCCTAGAAGGTTACATCAGCAGAGCATTGCTGGGAAATCTCATCTGTAATCTCAGGAGATCTCAGGGAAAGGCATCCCCTGAGATGATGTGCATGGTCACATATCAAAGTCACATGTGCCAGAGTTCCAGGAAGTTAAGGGAGATATATTAATCTGCCCTTAGTAAAAATGGCTGCTGTTAGAAGAATGGAGAAGAAAAGAGAAACAAGGTATGCAAATAATACAAAGCCTGCAGTTATTTAGAAGTATATGTTTGTAGATTGTCGTTACTAAACATTGCTAAAGGTGCTTTTGTTGTTATTTTGAAGATATGGGTAAAGGTCCGCATTAAGGAAATTTTTGTAAGTATTTTAATACCAGAACTGTACATGAAAAGGTTATTATTTTAAATATTAGTTGAACCTAATACCTGTGCAATTTTAGGCAGCATATCATATAAAATCAAGACCCACTTACCTCTTTTACATTGGGAACAGAGTTTGGTTTTTAGGTGTAGAAAAGGCCCAATGTAAAAGATAAATACGTCTAAGCTTTTGGGCTGGGTTTGACTGTCTGTTTTAAGACTTAGGGCCCCGTTCATAACAGAGAGCAGATTATCACTATCACCTACAGTGGGTATAGCCTTCTGTAATGACAGCTTAGTACAATATACAGTAAGTGCATAGGGGCGTAAAAGGTAAAATAACTGAAATACACTCCAGATTGTGAGGACACTGAGAGGAATTTATCAAAACTGGAGCAGACAAAATCTGGAGGAGTTTCCCAAAGCAATCAATCAGCTTCTCTCTTTAGTTTGTTCAGTTAGAATTTGAGAATGAAAGGGAGAAGCTGATTGGTTGCCGTGCACAGCTGCTCCAGATTTTGTCTGCTCCGGTGTTGATAAATTCCTCCCAATATGTTTTTAAAAGCAGCCATTGCATGCAAACGAACTAGGCACAACTAATTTTATTGATTTAAATTCTTGGTTCTGTTAAGTAATGCTCAGAAATGTAAAAAGTGATTGAGAAAGAAAAAAAGCAATTCTGCTACTTACATTTGTCTGGGTTAAATCTAACAGGCCTAAACCGTATGCTATCGAAGCATATCTAGCTAAAGTTGCTGCAATACCATTTCATCAGTAGAAGGTATTGCTTGTGAAAGAGAAACTATCTGCTCCGTTATTTGTGAGGTGGACCATGTACATACACTGAATGTAGTGATACATCTACAAGGGCAGTCAAAGCACAATCTGACCAAACAGATGTATGTCTACTGTGCAGTGGTGCCCTAAATGTGTATACCTAGGTCAACCTAAAAGTACATATGAATGGCAAGGGAATGGGGAAGATTAAGGCTTTGGTCACTACTTATGCCAAGGGGAACAACAAATGATTGAGCAAGGTCTTCAAATCTGCTCAATGTTTGCCCAAAAAGTGTCTCCTGTTGTCACAATCATGAGATTTGCCATCTCAGGTCTATGGTTTTTTATAGGCCATAATTAACCAGTTTTATAGTGCATGCCTTTTTGCAGAGGGAAGGAAAAAACGGTGCAAAAGAAACTGCTAAATTTGTAGCATTACAAATGAGTAAACTAAACATGAGATTGTAGTCCATCACAGGAGCGAGCTTGGAGCGGTTGCTACTTTACAAAACAGACAAGGACCATGGGGAACAAAAGTAGCCACCACTCCAGAAGGAAGGACAATGTCGGCACCAATTCAGAAATGGTTTGAGGATCTACAGCTCAGTAATACACAATCAGATACATTTTTGTTCATAGTTAAGGTACCTGAATGCATTTTTAAGGATTGAACTCCTGAGGTTACTGTCACTTTAATATTGCAGTGGGATTTGCAGGCCAGCAGACACGTGGCCATTAAACTAGAAAAAATAAAAATATACATTAGACTGGGACTGAATCACTGTCCACTTTGAATATTAACAGTTGCAAAAGAGGGAAATTATCTTGCAGAGTTACTTACCTGGTCTTTGAGGTACCCTATTAGCATCAGCTTCTACTTTCTGGACATGGGGGGGATATTCTTTCCTTTATAGCAAAACAAAAACATACAGTAAAGTAACAAAAAAGTAAAATCATATTGCATTATACAAACTGTAACCATTTTACATGGTAAAAACTGAAGCACTTCCGGAAATGTTGCAGAATGCAAGCCATACAAGTTCAAAAACAAAGCACTAAGCTTGGCTCAGCAATAGAGGGGAAATGGTGTTTCATGCGTTTGTTTTAAAACCAGAAACGTACCTTTCTCTTCTTTCCAGACTGCTTAAATGTGAAAAAGAAAAACAGTATAAGATATAAAAGCCTATGTTAAAAACCCTGCTCTTCTAACTTCAGAAACAAAGATCTTAACCTAGATTTTGAAACGACTTACAGAACATATTCTAAAGATAATTTAGAATACTCTGCCTCTTATGACTTCTAAACTTTATATGAAAGGAAAAGCTATAATATGCTGTAGACTTTAATGCACACCATTACCTGTCGTCTATAAAATACTGTTATTTGATACAATTCAACGCTCTTAATCTAGATGACTAAAGTGGATATCGTGACCATTCAGGTGCTGGAAGCCAAATGTCAAAACTGATTTTATCTTTGACATTACATTTTGATTAGAACCGGTCACCTTTTTATTGCTGTGTTGACATTTGGGTGATTTTTCTCCACTTGCCGCCTGATGGCAAGCAAAAAAGCAAATGAGGGGATATATCCCCAACGTCAGTCGGCAATAAAATAAATGGTCTAGCAAGAGTGGAGAAAGGTAAAAAACTTTCAGGATTGTATTTCTGTCTGTGACCTATGTGGTACATTTCTCCTCAGCTCAGGTGACGATCATAAGATAGAAAAAAAGTGAAGGGAAATTTCCTCTATGAGGAAAAGAGTATTTAAAACTAAAAGTTTTCCTTGCTCCTTTCTTAAAAAAACAAAAAACTGCAACCTCAACAAAAATAAACAAAAAAATAAAAAAGGGGATCCACAACTAAAGGTGTGTGCACGCATTACAAATCTAGAGAGCTTTTTCAGAAGCAGGTCAGCATAGATATTGCACAGACAAGATAGACAGAAACCACTAGAGGGAGACTCTTGCAAAGCTTGTTTATGATAATTTAAAGCTAGAATTGCCATTTGCAAACTATATCAGGACAACTGTTTATAAAATAAATGCACCTAAAACATTCAAGATCCTAAATAATCTAAATTTTTTATGGGACGTAACTCCAAAACCTCATATTGATTCCTTTAACAACTTATGTTAAAGGCTTTCATAGCAGTAACATTTGTCATCCATTGCCACTTGCAGCGCCTACCTTATGGCATAACTGTTTCACACAGTACAAAAGAAAAATTGACTGCTAAAATATGTGTTTTCAATTTAATGTTTATTTCATTTTTGCAGCCCAATTAGGATAACATCTACTTTATATTTGTTACGTTCCCATTCACATAGCATGACATAATGATTTACAAATTGTGGCTTGCCTTTTTAGATCCTGAAAACTCCAGGACTGAAAAAAAATCTACTTGTTTCTTCCTATTTATGAGGGGGCAGGGGATGTGTCTTTGCCATTAGCCCTGTCTGCGCTGTGCTGGTCAATGTTCATTATCAGTTGTAAACTAGTTGTGCGGGACTGTCTGTCCTAACAAAGCGTTAAAGATCTGAAAGCACTGTATGTTAATTCGCCTAAAAAATGTCAAGACACTAGAAGCTGCCTGTAGTGTCCGATGTATAATCCTGCTCAAAAAAAAAAAAAAGGTAAGATTTTACAAAATATATTTTTATTTTTGCTGAGTGGGAACAAACCTATAGTGGGAATTTTTTAAAACTGACTACAAAAGTGGAAATACACTTTAAATGAAGTCGTCTCAATTTGTATTGCTCACAGTTCAGTCACCTAACTTCCTCAGTGTTTGTTACTACTTATCCTATGTTTCTGTGTGCAGCAGAAACGGAGTTACAAACTTTCCCTCTTCACTCCCGACCATGCTCTGCAAAGGAGACTCCTGGAGACTCCTGATTGACAGCTCTCATCTCACTGTCTGCATTTTCCAGACACAAGCGTGGTCACAGGAATGCAGGAAGCAAGGGAGGGCACTCTCTCACACACTTGTTTTGTGTTGGGAAAGTGCAGAGACAAGAGATAGGATAGCTAAGAGATAAGAGCTGTCAATCTAGAGTGTGTCTCCTTTCTAGAGCGTGGTCGGGAATGAAGACGAGTGAACTGTCAAAGTCTGTATCTCAGTTTGCACTGCACAAGAAACATGGGATAAAAAATAAATAAAAAAAACAACGTAAATTATGGTAGTTAGATGACTGAGCTGAGAAAAATACAAGGCAAGACTTCTTCTTTAAGAAATATTCTCTCAGTCTTATACAATTGTATAGATTTCTACATAACCACATGATAAAAATGTACTAAATTACTATAGATTGTCAAATAACTCCAGTAGATAACAGTCCTTGTAAAGAAAGTTAATAACCTATTATTTTTCTCCACTTGCCACCTGATGGCAAGCAAAAAAGCGAATGAGGGGATATATCACCAACAACGTTAGTCGGCAACAAATAAATGGTCTAGCAAGAGTGGAGAAAGGTAAAAAACTTTCAGGATTGTATTCTCTTAGGAAAGCTTTAAAGGTGTAACAAAGCCATACATTTTCTTTTTAGTGTTGGATGGAATAGGGGGTGGCCTATGCTTGCTGTGTGCACCCTACAAGAGATTTCCCTTTACTTCCTGTCCTTGAGACTCTTGTGAAAGAGTTATTAAGCAACAAGTGCCAATCTTTACAGATTTCTTTTTCCATGCATTGACCTACTAAGGCTCTTTCAGTAAAGCATTTGAGAGGTGTAAAGTGTGCTACCCCTAAAAGGGTAAGTGCACTTTTGCATAATATGCACTTGGTCCTTTTGACAAAGCAACCAACCCTACCCTGCCCTCCAGTCCTAGATATACATTTACCTGAATCCCACAGTCCCCGGGCCTACCTCTATGCATTTTTCTCCAGATGGCCGTGCTTGTGCAATCAATTACCACAGACGTCTACAGGACCATCTTCGAAGACCAGAAACATTAGAGAGAGGGTCCCACAGAACTCTATGGTGATAGACTGCATAGGCAAAGCTAGCAATCAATTACCACAGACGTCTACAGGGCCATCTTCCAAGACAAGAAAGATTAGGGAGAGGGTCCCACTGAACTTTATGGGGATAGACTGCATAAGCAAAGTAGCAGGAAATACATTTTGCCAGGCTGCAGCAATGGGTCTCAACTCAAGTAAGCATACATGGAGTGGGGATTACTACCGATTATACGAAAGGGCATTTCTCCTTTAATGTGTATGTCATGACATCATAGAAAAAAAATGCACTCACCTCCTAAGCCCTGTTGGGACTGACAACACCCAGGTATTTTGTTAAACTACTGAAACTCTCCCTCTCCCGTCATGTCAACAACATAAACCCCCATTATTCTGTAGTCCATGAAAAGAGCTAGGAGGAATAATAAGACTACTTGAGATGACGCATGAAGTGAGGCCAGCTCTGAATTTCTAAAAAATGTTCCACTTATTAGAAAGTCATAAACACTTTTAATAGTACATTTAACACCAAAAGGTAGGAAATAGGAAATTTTCTTCCCGGAGTTCCACTTTGAGGTAGCCAGTACATACTTGTATAGTTTTATTTGGGTTTCTATCCATTGACCTATTGGGGCCCTTTGTATTTACTAAACATAATAAAGATGGTTTTCTGAATGGAGGAGCCGCCGAGCGAGTGACTCTCTGTGGTCACTGTAAGAGTCGGAAAGTTGCAGCTGTACCACAGGGAAATCAAAAGACAGATTGTGGGGGAATTGATCAAACTGGAGTAGACAAAATCTAAAGCAGTTACCTGTAAAACCAATCAGCTTCTCTTTTCAGTTTGTTCAATGAAAACTTGAGCATCTCTTGCAGCCCTCCAGGCGTCACATATGAATTATTACAGGTAACCGCTGACTCAATCTAACTTTTGAAAATAGATTTTTCCTGGAGTTCCACTTTAAATAACTCATGTGGCCCTGCCCCATTAACAAATGTCATGGCACTTCCCCTGTCATATTACTGCAAAGCATTATTGGAATTGTTAAAAGGAAATATCTGTTGCCACAAAAGAGCATAAGGGTAGAAGAATCATATATATATTTCAGCCAATTTGTGTTTTTATGCGTGCTGAATCTACGGAGAAAGGTACATTAGACGTCTAGAACAGACAAGAGGCAGTACACCATTATAACTACTATTTCCAACAGTATCTGCTATTGTAGAAATCATTTTCAGGACTGGCAACAATAATATAAAAAAGAAAATCTGCTCAGAAACAGTTTTCAAAAATAGACACAACCTACCTCTGTGCAGCAGTTTTGACTGTTGGAGTAATACTAGTGTGATGGAAAAGTCTTCCCTGAACAAAACTTCCAGATGCTGGTGCAATGCTTTGTACACCGTCCCTGTCATTAACAAGAAGAAACATTTTATACAAACTTAAACCGTACATTTTACACAAATTCAGAGATTCAAAAAGGTAGCAAACCATTTTATATCTGCACTAGCCAAATGTAGTTACTCTATTTGATGCACAAACCTCATAACTTCCTTTACCTTCCCTGAATGAGTCAAATCCCCCTTTATTGGCATCTCACATGTAACCCCTTCCAGACACTGCAGCTCACAGTGGGAGGGATTCAGGAACAGATGAAGTGCTATCAATCCAGAAAGCAGTGGGCAGGACTAGGTGTGGCCAGGTGCTGATAGACAATCTACAAGCTTGTGACTCAGCAGTGCCAATGCTAATAGCCATATCCCCGAGGCCACAGTTCAACTTTAAACTTGCTAGCTATAATTTTTAGGAGAACAAAGGCTTTGGTACTTTATACTTTACTTGTGTGAAGTCAGCAGCCGCAGCAGCTGTATTTTCATAAGCTAAGGTTTCCTATAAATTACAGTGTTTGAAACAATGAAGCATTTTTTTTTTTATCATGACAACAGCTCAAGAAAAATCTGTGGTCCAAGAAGAATACATATTTTACCAAATGAATGATGCATCTCGTAGAAACAAAATATACAGACATATTTTAAACTTTTCAAAGTACAACTTTTTTTTTAAAGCTTGACTCTGGTCAAAATGTATCTCTCTCATATTGGATAGAGCGAGGAAGAAAGAAAATGTATTTTGTTTGACCCCACTCCAAAGATTCTTCCTAACTTCCTGGGGGGGGTGTCGGCCAGACAGGTTGGCACAAATAGCAGTACAAACAATGTAAGAAATCCCCCCAATAGGGATACAGGTGGCAAGAAAACCCAGAAAGATGCTTATACCTTTGTCTATTCTCAGGGATGTTGAATTTGTATCGTTCGATGCCTAGGACATGCATTTTTTTTCTACATTTAGCCGTAGATCGGGTGAGCAGCCGCTCATTTAGTACAAGTCATCTTAGATCACTTGCATAAAATGAGCAGCGATCTTGACCGCTTGGGAAGTAGTTTTTTTTTTGTGTTCTATCCAAAACAAAATCTTTTGGCTGGAGCTGGGCTTAACTTCCAAATGTATTCTTTTACAAGTAGTAAACACATTTAAAATAAATCAAACAAACATTGCTTGGTGGTGGATGTGTTGGGATGAACTGTGTACAGTAGATGAATGCACATTTACCCCAATTTCTTGCTTCCTCCCAACATGTTCAGTCCAGTCGCATTGCCTCTCAAAGGCCTCAAGTGTAGGTGTTTGCCTTTTCTCTCATAAGTCCTAATAGGGTCCCCAAGAGCTCTCCCTGTTCCTGGTCTAACCTGTCTGGACTGCAAGAAATTAGTAAATTAAATATACACACACACACAATAGATTACTCAGATTATTTGTACACGACACAGCAAAAGGGCCCTTTTGTAGGGCAATTCGACTTTCCCAGGTGAATTTGGTAAAATTAAATTACCCCCTCCGATCAGGCCCCCCTCTCCCCAGCCCCCAGTTATACTTACTTTTGGACGTACACTCCACCCCTTCACCGGTGTGGGTGTACTATCAGTACCCCATACTGCCATGTAGCACAGCCCTGCGCTCTGTGTTTGGAATTTTGCTCGCAAATGGCAGGCACTCATTGGTCAGCAGGGGTCACCTGACCTGGCAACAACCCTTCTCAATGGTCAGAAGGGCTTTTCATTGGTCAGGCCATTGAGTGCTCGCCATTTGCGAGCGAAATTCAAAATACGGAGCACAGGGCTGCACTACACAGCCGTATGGGGTATAAATAGTACACTTGCACTGGTGGAGGGGAAGAGGCGTTTGCCCAAGGTTCAGTATAGCTGGGAGCATATTGGAGGGGGTGATTACATCATTCCACTCTAAGGTGATGGCACTCTAGTGCGGGCCATGTGCAGTTCATATATTTAAAGAGCACTGTAAGATACGATAGATATTTTTTTTTTGTGTTGCTATGAACAAGCTAACAAAACTATTGCGTTTGTAATTCATTAATTTTCCTAAGTAATTTTGTTAGATGCCTACTGGCCACAGAGGCAGCAACCTATGATGGAGGGGCAAAGCTCCAGCTTGCAGATCAAGTTAAACTAACCATACACGGCCTGAATTTCAGCCTATTCCCGGTGAATCAGCCATGGGTGGCCCTCCCAACACCACTCAGCACGACAAATTTTAATTGAAATATAAAAGAAGCTGGGCAGAGAAAAGAAAAGTCTGCCCAACAGTGACTGCCAGAATATAATAGCCGTAGGGGAAATTGATCCAGCTACGCTTCTAAGCATGGTTAAGGGAATCAAGTGATTTCTCTCGTGCAGACACACAAATCTTTACATGTATGACCAGCATTACGATTGCAAGCTGTGTACATATTTGCCTGTCAAAAGATTTGAAAAATAAAGCACATTCTCTTGCAAGCAACACCTTTCCCGTTTTGCTATGTTCTGCAAAGCTAGACATGACATATTTCAGAGTCTGGTTGCCACGGCCCTTTCTCTAGCATGCTCTCTAGACTGCTGGGAAACCAGAACGCACTGGTAAAGTACACATATTCTCCCTTCGGTAACCCACTTAAGTATCTCCCTATCCCCCATCACCGAAAGGCTTACTTAGCAGGCACTTGCACTGCATCACTAACACTGCTGTGACATACCCATCCTTCGTCCAGAGAACACCTAGTATTCATTGAGAAAAATTAAAAGGTGCCCTCTGAATGGCTGCTATACTCCACAAGCAACTATGCTTTACCAGCAGAAGGATGTTGCTCAGCATAGTGACTGTAGCAGTGACCTGGAAGACCCTGATATACACTATAGCAGCAGCGGATACTACAGTGTATTACAGGATCCCCTTTGTGACAAGCTATACAGTTGCAAGAAACTTGGAATGAACTGGTTTTCTGCAGTAAATTTACCATAACATGTTAGCGTATTCTCATGTAAGTCACAAAAGACAAACACAATGAGGGGAATTTATCAAAACTGGAGCAGACAAAATCTGGAGTAGCTGTGCATGATCACCAATCAGCTTCTCTCTGATTTGCATATCTTAACTGAACAAACTGAAGAGAGAAAACGATTGGTTGCTATGGGCAACTGCTACAGATTTTGTCTGCTCCAGTTTTGATAAATTCCCCTCAATGTGCTTAAGCTGATCACACACACAAACAATTCTAATTTTTCTGGTCTTTATTGAACACACCGATTAAACATTCACAGCGCTGGAGGAAAATAAGTGAGCCCATGGAGTTAATAACTGGTCGAACCTCCTTTGGCAACAACGATTTCAAGCAAGTGCTTTCGGCAGCTCTGGATTATATCTGGACAACGTTCAGGAGGAATTTATGACCATTCCTCTTGACATAACTGATTCAACTCAGACACATTTGTAGGATGACTGGTATGAACGGCTCTCTTGAGGTCATTCCACAGCCTCTCCATGGGAGTAAAGGTCTGGGCTCTGACTGGGCCACTCCAACAGGAGCATTTTCTTTTTCTGAACCAGTCTGTGGTGGATTTACTTCGTTGCTTAGGGGTCATTGTCCTGCTGCATCATCCAACTTCCACTAAGCTTCAGCTGGTGGACAGCCACCCTGACATTATCCTGCAGGATATTTTGATAAACTTGTGAATTAATTTTCCTCTCAATGAAGGCAAGTGGTCTAGGCCTTGAGGCAGTGAAGCAAACCCAAATCATGATGTTCTCTCCACCATACCTTACCATTGGCATGATGTTTTGATGTTGGTAAGCTGTACTCTTTTTGCGCCATACATAGTGCTGAGTATTCTTCCTTAATAATTCAACTTTTGTTTCATCAGTCGATAAAACATTTTCCCAGTTGTGTTGCAGTTTGCCAAGGGGAGGTCGTCAAGCCTTTAGCTGTTACTCTTGGGTTCTTCTTTACCTCATTGGAGGATTCTGTGTTGAGTTTTGGGAGTCATCTTGGCTGGGCGCCCACTTCTAGTAAGAGTAGCCACAGTACTAAACTGTCTCTATTTATAGACAATTGGTCTGTCGGCTGATGGATGCCTAAACACTTTTAGATTGATTTGTATCTCTTTCCAGCTTTATGCTGGTTAACTACTCTTGATCGTATGTCTTCAGAGAGCTCTTTTTTGCAAGGCATGGTTCACATCAGTTGATGCTTATGAACAGCAATCTAGAGAGTCTCATCAAAGTATCTCGTAGGGCAGGTTCACACCATTTTCTGGACCAGATCTGGAAAGCACTGCGTTTTTATTGTTTTTTGACGTGTTCAATTTTAGGTCTTGCTGGGGGACCTCTGCAAGACCTACAGATAGCCAGGAAAAGAGCAGCACAATGCTTGCGCATAAGAGACATGAACTTACCAGTTCTTTTCAGAGCTGCTCTAATTATCATAGCCAGGGACAACCTGGGCAGCAATGCCCCTCCACTTGTCCATCTTACTATTATTGTTCTTATATTGCCCATGCCTCAGATTATACAGCTCTAGGCAGGCTTCCACAAGTTCTACAAAGAATTTGGTGTCCACTTCAGCCATCATGGTTCCTATCCTCACAAATCTCTCTCTCCACAGAAGAAAGAAGTCCAGGGGTGATGAGAAAAAAAATGTTGGTCTTTCCCATTGCGTTCCGTTTGACGTGTTTTGTGCGTGTTCCGGACCAGACAAAATGTGACACGCAGTATTTTTTGGGTCTGGAACTGACTGGGATGGTGTGAACTGAGGCCAAAATGAGCATAGGGAAACATTGGGATGCATTTTAGGTCCAGAAACAATCTGGTCTGGTGGTGATCTGGAGGTGGTGTGAATAGGCCCTAAACCACACTTCCAAACTCATTTCAATAACTGGACTCCAGGTGTGCAAGTTACTTTCCTTGAAGTCTATGGGTTCACTTACTTTTTTCTCCAGCACTGTGAATGTTTAATGGGTGTTTTCAATAAAGGCACAAGAAAATTACAATTATTTGTGTTGTATCAGCTTAAGCACATTGTGTTTGTCTATTGTTGTGACTTAGATGAGGATCAGATCACATTTGCTGCAAACTACTGCAGAAAACCAGTTATTTCCAAGGGGTTCACATACCTTTTCTCGCGATATAGATATATATTTTTTTTTTTAGCTGGAGTTTTACTTAAAAATACAAATGAACTGCAGAAAAGTGAGCTAGTAGAAGCAAAACCTTGGCAACTTGCCTTTTGTGCACTAAGCTCTGAGCTAGATCCATCACTTTCTTCAAGGCTGAGCAAGTTTACATCACTATAAATAAGAATACAAAGTAATGAGAATACACATTTTACTGAATTTATTGTACTGTACACAATTTGTCCACATGTTCAGTTACAAATGTCACACGGTGTAAATATTTTGGTTGGTGTTTTATTAGAACAGATTATGGTTTATTTTAGTCCTTGATGCGCAGTATGCATGAAAGCAAAATGGAAAATAATGTGCTAATCAGTCCTGGCCAAACCAAGACAATGTTAGCCAATACATCAAAATATTTCTGTTTCTGCCACCGATTTGAATGAGGTCCATGATTTTTACATTAAACTATACATTACTCATGAATCCTGACATGCACCTGAACCCAGACATATGAACCTACTGTTATCTCACCAGTAAATGTATGAAGCTTCAGAAAATCTTACCAGACACTTGGAAATAACAGATGATTTGCTGTGCTAGGCTGCGACTGTGCAATTCCATGATCATCACATAAATATACTAAATGTAATCATTACAGAATATAAAACTGAAGTTCTAGGCAGAAATAGAACTTAATTCAATTTTTCAATCATTAAAACTCATTACATTTATTTTTACGTACAGATAGCATAGCCATTTGAATATGAGCGAGGGTCGAGTCTGACCAAAACAAGGAATAGAATAGAAGGTGGCTAAAGCTCTTTCCTCCCTCATTTCGAGCACAGACAAGGACATATTGTTACTCTACCTTTAGGGTAGAGTAACCTTGAATTAAAAGGAAAACAAAATCTCATAGCAGATGAAAAAGCGACAGTGTGGAAATCACAGGAAAGGGCAGCCTAAAAAGTACTCTTCTCATATCCATGTCCAGCATAAAAGTTATTTAAAAGGGAGAACTACGAGGCAAGTGAAAATCACTAATTCTCATAGTTTGAGCCGACGTGTGACAATGAAACTGTCGCACGAAAAAAACAAACCACAGCCCCATAAGTCCATGCCTTACACACTGACTAACCATCATTTGGACATGTTTAAAGAGGAACTTTACCCATATCTTTAAAAATTACAACAAAGGCACCTTTGTGACATGTTTAGTAATGAAAATCTACAGATACTTCATCATGTTTAAAGAGGAACTTTACCCATATCTTTAAAAATTACAACAAAGGCACCTTTAGACATGTTTAGTAATAGAAATCTACAGATACTTCAAAGATAATTGCTGGCTTTGTATTCTCTGAATACCTCATTCTTCTCACAGTGGCCATTTTTACTAAGGGCAGATTAATATATCTCCCTTTACTTCCTGGAACTCTGGTACATATGACTGAGACACGTGACCATGCTTATCACCTCAGGGGAGAAAAATGCCTTTCCCAGAGATCTTGTGAGATTACAGATGAGATTTCCTAGAAATGCACTGCTGATATAACCTTCCCAGGATGCAATGCATGGACACATCTACATCATTCAAGCCCAAGAAGACCAGGAAGTGGAAAAAAAGAAATTGTAAGTAAAATAAAGAATTTTTACACTAATGAATGCAAAATGGCTTTGAACCAGCAAGGGATAATTCAAAGGGGGTAAAGGTCCACTTTAAGGAACAGATATTAACAATACATTTTTAATAAGCAATATTCTAAAAGAGATGTTAATAGACATACTGAACAAATTCCTGTTTGAATACTGCAAAAATAACCCTAAATTAACTACATCAAAGTCATGATCTCGTCTCCATTCGAATTAAGCATGCAAAGCAACTGAAGACATAGGAGGCAGACTGATAAAGGAAGAAGTGCTTATAAATAAAATGGCTCGAGTGTCTCCATAATCTCGAGTACGTGTTCCTGTGGCAAGTAAACGCAAGCTTTATTGTATATAAACACATAAAACACAAGGTGCATGAAGGCTCAAGCATTAGCCCTACACAAGGTGCATGAAGGCTCAAGCATTAGCCCTAAAAAAGAAAAACAAACAGATGAATTCAAGCCATGCATTACACACCAGTGCTTCCAAAACCTCAAGCTGAACTCTGGGGAAATGTCAAGGGTAAATGCTTATTTTTGTCTAGGGGAACATTAAAAAGCCATTTTACTTTTCTTAACCCTCGCTCCAACAGCAGCCAGTGCTCTCCCCTTCTCTCCAACTCCCCGAGTTGAATGCAGGACCGACAGTTCTGTATTGTAAGTGAGGGCGCCAAGAGCCCGCCTCACTTACAATACAGGAATGCTGGTCCTTCATTGCACGTGATGACAGCATAGTGTCCTCAACTTTGAGTAGCAAAGGGAAGAGGCCTCAGGGGACCGGCAGCATGTAGAGAAGGAGCCTGCGATACTACTAAGTAATGACTTTCAGTGTCTGATAAGCATTGTCACATGGGCTATAGAAGGCACAGAAGCACACACATGAAGGCCTCATTCACACGGACACTGCTGCATTTAGCACTAAACACATAAGTCATCTAGAATGTATAAACAACTGTTTATGCTGACCAGATCACTTTTTCCTGCGTTTAGATCTTCCTGCTTTAAGCCGCATTTAGAGTTTCTAATCTGATCCTGGACACACAGAAATCTATTTTCTCTAAATGTAGCTAAACTGAATGCAGGTAAATGACAAAGTCTGACTGATGACATTGAAAAGCAATTATATGCTTTTAGAAATGTGATCTACACTTTGTGCCCAATTATTAGGCAAGTTGTATTTGAGAATTAATTTCATTATTGAACTACAGTCCTCTCGGTCAATCCAAAATATTAATAATCCTCACACCTGAATATTTAAGAAAGTAAAAGTGAGGTTTTGGCTTTCTTAAGACATCTATGTGTGCACAATTATTGGGCAACTATATGGAAAATGAAATGTTCCCATCTCACTTGTTTGTTTTCATCTGTTAAAGTGACAATAATAAACAAGCAACTCAGAATTTACACAAAAACATTTGACATTTTCAAAAACAAAAATCAGTGACCAATATAGCCACCATTCTTTTCAATAACAGTCATAAGCCAGGGCTGTATACAGTCTTCACTATGCTCTAATAACTGTCCTTATATTCTGGAAAATAGCAGTCCCCTTACTCTCAATTTGTCCTCAAAAAAACTATAAGCAGAAGAATGCATGAAAAACCTGACACAAGTCAGTGGATACTTTGCCACTTATATTGAAGTACGAATGTTGGTAACTAGGGATGTCCCGATGTGCGCTCCGAGCGGGGTTATCTGGCAGTCTCCGGCCACCTAAATTAGGACCCGGAGACTGCCAGATGACCCCGCTCGGAGCGTCGCCCACCGGAGCAGCAGTGACGCGACGCTCGGCGAGGTAAGTAAGAAGAAAAAAAAAACAAAGCGCAAGCTTCGGCGCTAGGCTTCGGGGCATTTTGACAAAATGCCCTGTATCGGGCCCGATTCCGATGCTAGCATCGGTATCGGGACATCCCTATTGGTAACACATTCCATTTACATACACACAGGTACAGATTGTATGCAGCTTTTCTAAAGCACATTTGCAGATGATTAGAATGATTTCCACATACTAGTAGCTTCCTGAGTGATGCACAGTTCTCACCTTGCCAAATGGCCCACTGCTTCAGCTGCTCTTTGTATTAGGCTGGATTCACACCTCTCCATTCCTATGTGCTGTGTTGATGCACATACATAATACGTGATGTGTCACACATTAAAGTGACACTAAACTCAGGAGACACAATGTCACATTTAGTTTACTGATTTGTAGTGAGGTTGTAGTCTATCACAGGAGCGAGCTTGGACCGGTGGCTACTTTACACCACACACAGGGACCATGGGGAACAAAAGTAGCCACCCTCCAGAAGGAAGGACAGTGCCAGCACCAATTCAGAGATGATTTGGGGGCCTACAAATAAGATACATTATTGTTAATAGTTAAAGGAGAACTATGGGGTTAGGGCTTTTCTCCATAGTTCTCCTTAGGGTAACGGGAGGACACAAACTAGCGTCCTCCCGTTACCCTAAGCTCAGTATACCGCGAGCTACAGCTCGCAGTATACCGAAACACAGCAGCTGAAGCGGATCCCGACAATTATGCCGGGATCCGCCCTGCTGCGCGAGTGACAGCTGCCTCTGCCTATCTAGAGGCAGAGCCAGCTGTATGCACCCCCGTCTGTTCCGCCAGTCAGCGCTGGCGGATCGAAGCGGGGAGGGGGAATCCAGCCCTTCCCCTGTCACGGCAGAGAGCTGTGACAGGATCGAGAAGTGAGCGAGCGCCGGTATGTGTTCGCTGACCTCCCGATCTACTGAGCCGACCTGTGACAGTCTCATTGTCACAGGTCGGCTAGAAATAGGGGGTGAGTGTAAAGCACTCACCTCATAGTTCTCCTTTAAAGGAACTTGAGTGCATTTTTAACATTTAACTTGAGGCAGTACATTTATTTTTAATGGGCTGCCACAGCAAAGGAACAGACCACAAAACAAACATGCAGCACTTTTGCCCTAGCTCTGTACAACAATGCACGATAGTATGTTACCGTGTGTTGTAGTGTACTGCAACACATGTGCTTCGGAGCTGAAAAATGAACACTGCAGTGACCCGCACATTGCCACAATGCACCTGATCGCCAAAATGTTTTTCAGGCTCTAAATGGATGGCAGAGTATGTGTGCATGTCTTCATGCTATTTTTCTTTTTTTTTTAGCATGTCAAATTTTTATTGAGAATATTCAAAAAATACAACATTACACGACAAGCAGGTCTTGTTATGATACATAGACCATATCTCAGTACGCAGACTGAAATCCAGACATGTCATTTGATTATATCCTTAAACTGTAACTGAATAACTAGAATCTCGCAAAAGGTACACAATCTGCTAGGATATTGCGCATCAATTATGTGTATAACAACTGGTAGCAGACCCTATAGCCATGAGGGTCGTTACTGTGGGGAGAAGACCAATTCGATCCCTGAGGGGTATTCGTGGGTGCAACTGGAGGAACACCCGAGGTGGAAAATGGTGGTGTGAACCCCGAATGAGCATAGTTAAGAAAGGGTCAAAGGACATCCAGGGGCCCTAGGGAACGTCTTCATGCTATTATACACTAATATGCTATTCACAAATCAGCCAGCCCAATCAATGCAGTTACATCCCAACAAAATATACAACAGGCTAATCATCAATGTCTGGCAGGTGGGCTGGGGTCTAAATCTGGCCCTACACCTATAGATTATCTGCAGATTTTGTAAGGTCAGATGGAAAGAGTGCAACAGATTCCTCCATCTACACTAAAGTGTGTGGATGGAGGAATCTTCCACTGGGCAGAGCTTCAGTAACTTGCTAGTCGGCCCCACTGGCTGTCAAAATACCTAAACAATCTGATTGGATGCAGGCATTGTGAGGTATTTTGAGAGCCAGCGGGGCCGACTAGCAAGTTAGTGAAGCTTGGCCAAGTGGGAAATTCAGTTTAGCGTAGATGGAGGAATCTGTTGCACTTTTTCCATCTGACCACAGAAAATCTGCAGATAATCTATAGGTGTATGGCCAGCTTTATGGACAGAAATATATTTTACAGCTGATTATCCTGCAAATAACAAGGAGCTGCCCATACTAGCTCTAATTCTATCCTTTTCTCTTCCCAGATCAGATCAATCTGAGATTTCAAGCATTTCCTGGCTACACTGCTAAACCTGATCCTCATCAGATAGTTTAATCAGGCAGTCGGATGCAGCTGCTTATAGCCAGAAAAAGTGTCACAGTGTGTTAGGTCTGGACAGGAAGGTGAAAAGAGGAGGTGTGGATACGCACCACCACCATGGTGACTCCTCAACAAAAATTTTAGAAATTCATGCAATGTAGCAGTATTATTAAAAGGCACAGTCCAACCAAAGCTGGATTCAGTTTTTATAAGATACTGATGAGTTTAATTGCAAAGAAAATTCCTGTATCACCAAAGAGGTGGTGAGATCACTGTGCTGCTTCAGGGGGGCAGAGCAAGGAACACAAACCAGTGTCCTTTGTTGTATATTTTCTTCAGGAGATCTCCCCTGAGAATAGTTACCAATGCAACAACATCATTATTCGTATATAGTAGTGTAGGTAAGAAGACCGCAGGTGGAATATTGCCAAGCATTTCTTACCGATGAATCTGCTCACCCGCCTTTACCATCCTCAATGTACACTGTTCCGTTTCAGCAAAATGCATGTGGGTTACATTCTGCTCTACTGTGTGCACAATGATCTACTAATGTCCCTTTATATAAACCTGTCACAAACCTGGGCAATACTAATAAAGCATATGATGAAATATGTTACCTTCAGTGAAACAAACAGGTCAACACAACCAAGAAATCCAGAACCAAGAGCTCATTCACACCAGTCCATAAGCGGTGAGGTGGTGCCTTACCTTCTTACAAAGCAAAGCACTATTTACCTATTATAATTAACTATTTACTATTGTTTAAATCAAACTTTATTAAAATGCCAAAGTGACATTTCATTAATTTGTTTTCACCACATCTCAGCTTCAGTGTGGTAAGAAGCACTGATGAGGAGAGTCCTCAAGGCACACACAGTACAATCATTTTCTACGTGCCCTTTCAGGTGCTGAAAAACACCAGCCACCACACATGGTGTGAACAAGCCCTAAAAGGAAGCTGAAGCTATATGTAAATCTTGATGGTAAAAGCCAAGATTGGTCCTAACTGGTATTATGTCACTGACAACCTCATTGTCCACCAGGGATTGGGATGGAATGGGATGTATCCAAGTTGAACATTTCCAGGAAAAGTCAAGGTAAGCATATTACTGGAAAGAAAGCGCTGGACCCGCTAGGTTTAACCTATTGGTGTGGCTTACCAAATATGATGTGAAAGAGTCAGTAAGGTGATCTGACTACAGGACAGGCAGCTCCTACATCCCAGGGGATCTCTACTGTGTCCTTGGTTTGTAGTATCAAATGCAGGATTGTGAATTGAAGCTCCACACTCCACTTAATAGTCCAGAGAAATCTTTACACAATATAGGATTGAGAGGACAGTACAGAAATAGCCAATGCATTTCAAAGGCTCATACGAATACCCCCCTTTCATCAAGCCTAAGGAAGGGAGAACATGTATCAGGACTGTGATAGCTTGAAATTGGATACAGTTTTGTCTAATGTTTGAGAATGCATAGACCTCATCAGCAGCTGACTTGGCAGCCATTTGTCTAACTTCCTAGATCACTGAACTATTGGTTGCTTTGACAAATTGAAGTTTTCACCGAAGGTAACCTCCTCTACAATGTTTAGTACATTAGCCTGAATTGCCCATATTAGTGACAGCTTTAATTTAAAGAAGAAGTACCTCGGGCAGTATAAAATATGCAACCCTTGCAGTGGGGCTAAGACCCCCGCCCCTACAAGGGTTAAGGGCTTATTTTCATCTAGGGTCTAAAATAACAAAAATACTCACCCGAGCCTCGGAACAAGCTGGGTGCTAGACCAGTCCCTGCAGCCTCTCTCCCCCCTCCACGTGGTCTAAAAACTCATGTGTCCAGTGTTCTGGACATAAGGACGCTGAGGAACATTTCTTTGCCAGCTGTATCCAAGGTTCGGGTGAGTTCACCTTTGTTATTTTAGACCCTAGGTGGAAATGAGCACTTAACCCTAGTAATGTGGGGGTAGCCCCACTGCAAGGGTTAGGTTTTCTACTGCCCAGAGTTCTCCTTTAAAGCTTAACTTAGCCCAATGCTGTAGACACAAGTGATTGTATGCATACAGCCAGCATTCCCATATGTACACCACCTTCATTCACATCTTCTAAGCGGAGGATTTGATGCACATAGAACAGGTTAGTGAAGCAGAGAACACTGTGCAATGCCAACGTGGATTCCGGTGAATGCTAAAATACACTGACATTCTGAGCGGAAAGAAAGATACTGGTCTACAGATATTGGTTACTTTAGCATTACTAGTACTTGGAAGTTTGGGAGCAGTAGATTGTAATACACTGTCATACAAAGACAACAAATACACCCGGAGCAGATAGAAAAATGGCAAAGAAAAGTGAAATGGGAAACACTACGTTATTTTCCAATGTGCCGTCAAAATGGAATGCATAAGCCACAGAACTGTACTTACTCTTTTTCAACATCACCATCACTTTCGTCCACGCTTTCATAACTCCAGTTATTTCTAAAACCTGAATCTTTCTTGGACTCTGATCTGCCCAAAGCTAAAACAAAGCAGAGCCAGTCCGTATCAGACAATGCAAGTACAGTTCTAATTGCCAATAAACTAAGACACTAAAGTAAAAAGCAGTTTATAGCTCATTTATAGCACTTCCACATGCTTTGGAGAACCCCAGGCAACAGTAAGACCTTCCTTTTAGTAGCGAATATATTATCTCAAAAATAATTTTTTAATTATGACAAGTTGAATGTGCAGTTATTTGCCTATACCGAGCAGTTCATTTTACAGTAGGGACCCTTTAATTACCTTCTACTCCCATCTCTACCACCCTGATCCACTGCCAGAGCACCCCAAAGTGCTTATCAAATTCAGAGTTAGATAAATCCCACATGTCAACGCCTGACCACTCAGATGCTGAACAACAGGGATGTGGGGGTATCATGTGACACCCCATACTAAAAAGCAGGGATGCACCTATACCGGTATTTCGGTATCGAGTACCAATATTTTTTTTGGGGTATTCGCCGATATCGAGTACCGGAAGTACCATTAAGAAAGCCAAGTAGCATGTAATGACCCACCACCCGGCTTCCTGATTAGCAGGGATGCCGGATGGCGTGTAAAGACTCATCACCCGGCTTCCCGATTAGCAAGGAAGCCCTTCCCCATGCTTCTCGAAAAGCTGGCTCTACGCTTCCTTGTCATGAGGTGACGAGGGAGCATGAAGCCAGCTTCCCGGTCAATCAGAAAGCCGGGCGCCGCGTCATTACACGGTGCCCGGCATCTTGATTGGCCAGGAAGCCGGCTCCATGCTCTCTCGGCTTCCCAATACAGGAAGTTTCGGGCTAGGCATAGGAGCAAGTGGAAGGCAGGGGAAACCTCTGTCTAGAATAGCCAAGATACAAGTCTGATCAAATGGGACTGTCACTTAAATAACAGTGGTAACAAATAAGTAGATATGAACCACTCACCCATTCCACTGTTCATGCCACCGATCACTGGTGTTTGGCAGAGAAAACATTGAAGACACTTCTTAAAGTGACATTAAACCCTCAGATTTTTTTACATAAACCAATACTGTAATGTGCGCCTTACTGTAATCCATGGTAGTGTCCCTTCTCTTTCCTGCTCTTCCTTTTAAATCCTTTTAAATCCTCATGTCTTCTCATGCTTGGGGAGAACTTCCCTTTGCAGCTCAGGGCCTCTTCCTGTAGTGCTGGCTCAGGTTGTGAACCTACACACAGACACCGTGTATCCATTCCTGAGACAAGGCAGTCTGTTGCAAAACAGAAGTTCTGCCCAGCATGAGAAAAGATACGGATTTAAAAGGAAGAGCAGCAAAGAGAAGGGAAACAGCCATGGATTACAGTAAGGCACATTACAGTATTGTTTTATGTTAAAAAATCTGAGGGTTTAATGTCACTTTAATCCAAATGCACAAGGAGTGTGAAATGTCAGGCCCCTTCTGTGCATGGCAGTGCCTCCTGACAACCCCTACATCAACACTTCTTGTAAAGGTCAGCAGGAGAAACCACAGTGTGCAGAAGACAGACCGGCAATTTGACTCTGCCGGAAGGGTTGGATTTTGAAGAGTCTTCCAGGGACTTATTAAGAAACAATCAGCAACATGTGCAGTGGGAGTATTAAATATTTTCTCCGCAGGGGGGTACATTTTTTACCACTTTTATTTCAAGGCTGAACAAATCCCAGGAGCCAGGCAGCCAATGCTCAAAAAAAATTACGGCTGGTGCCCAACATTTGAGGTTTTCTCTAGTAGTCAATGGAGCCGGCTCCTAAAAACTCCTGATGGCTCCTGGATTGGACGGAGTGGCTCCTGAATTCTATATTAATGTAACCACTCCTGGTTTAATTATATGTGATCCATGTTTATATAAAGGTCTACCTATTATAAGAAAAATATAAGGGCTGGCATTATGAAAGTCCCAGTTGCCTGTCTGGATCTGGTTTCAATACATCCGAGAGACAGACCAGGAAAAAGAATGCTGAAGAAGAGGAAGTATTGAAGTCAAAACACCAGACCAACAGCCAAGCACCTAGCATTTTCATAAGAACAGTTCAGAAATTAAAGCCTTCAAATATTTATCATGACACATATTCTTTATAGGGTCAGTAAACTCCATACTGAGATTTCCATTTCTGGTATACGCTGGCCGGGTGTATTAAAAGCATCTTACATCGAGGATTTTCCCAACAGCTGAAATTTCAGCATCAATGTGACAGTGAGAGGACCTGCATTTGATGAAATGGAAAAGAAAGGGTAAAAGGGGATAAATGACACAAATCATATATCTGGTCTCCTCAACCTGCAGATCTGACACTGCTGATACGTTTTTCTTTTTTAATGGCAGTTAAATCAATATACAGCCAGGGAAAAAAATATTTCGACAGAAAAGGGAATGACTGGCGCCCAGTGGTACAGAGATTGTGCAGGATTTCTATTTCAGACGCCGAAAAAGGTTTCAGGCTTTAAAAAGACAATAGAATCATAGTTTAGTTAAAATGACACTAAACTCAGGAGCTAAATCTTACAAATGTGTTCAGGTACCTTAACTAGTAACAAAAATGTATCTTATTTGTGTATCACTCAGCTGTAGATCCTCAAATCATCTCTGAATTGATGCTGACACTACTTTTGTTCCCCATGGCCCCTGTGTGTGTTGTAAAGTAGTCACCACTCCAAATTCACTCCTGTGATGGACTACAAGCTCAATGCAAATTAGTAAAGTAAACATGAGATTGTAGTCCATCACGGAAGAGAGTTTGGAGCGGTGGCTGCTTCACAACACACACTTAAAAGTAGTCACCCTCTAGAAGGAAGGACAGTGTCAGCACCAATTCAGAGATGAATTGAGGCTCTACAGCCGAGTAATACACAATTAAGGTTCAGTATTGGTAATAGTGTAGAGCTGCAACAGTTATTCGATTAAGTCGATTAAAATCGACGATGGAAAACGTTGTCAACGTTTTCGATTGTCGATTCATCGGCTAAAATTCAAATTTCCCGCTCGCCGCTTACGCCACGTCGTTTAAGCCGCTCGCGCCTACGCCGGTATACCCGCTCACGCGACGCCGCTTACGCCACGCACACGCTGAGGACATGTGTCTGGCCCTCTCCTCCCGGTGAGCTGCCCGATTCGCCGCTGCCCGCCGACATGATCAACGCCGCTGCCCGCCGACAACACCAAGGTAAGTGGAGATCGGCCGGGAGCTTTTTAATGCTGCCTGTGTGTGTTT